CTGTGGGGGAAATGAGTCCCCACAACCGACAGGACTATGGAGTGATTGTGTAATGGAAAGGAACAAATACAGAGACAAATACTTAGGGGAATGTGATTGGGACTCTTCGCCAACTCACAAATGTGAAGGCCTCTTTCCACCCAGAATCCTGGCCTTCGCGCCTTCTTAATCAGGAGTGTAGACAATCTGTCCCCATAAGCTCTTTCCGGTCGTTGACTTCTCTCGGTCTGCTCCGGTAAGGAATTCGTCTCAGAAGACCAAAGGAGCAATTCTCGCTGCTCTGCAGAGCGTCCCGGGAGTCAGAATGGACTCGGTGGCAGTGGGTTTGAGTGCTCCGCTTTCTGTTTTTCTTTGATTCCCAATATAATTCGAATTGGATAAATATTTCAGAGGAGGAATCAAGAGGCCTTTCTTTCTCAGCTATGCCGGGGCTTCCTATCAAAGGAAGAAGAGAGCAGAAGTCTCCGCCACTGTTCACCTGGACAGAAGCGTGGGCAGAGCTTCAAGCATAGGCGGCAGATGCTGAGCGGCCCTTTCCGTATCAGTTAACTCCAGAGCCCTCAACATCGTCTTCAGCTCCACTGTGTGTACGGGGTGGGGGCAACCTTGATGAGCACGAGTGGGCCAGCCCACGGAAAGAGGAAAGGAGTTGCTTGGCTGCTAATCACAAGGTTGGAGGTTCAGAGTCGATCCAGAGGTGCCTTGGAAGGAAGACCTGGTGACCTGCTTCTGAAACCCCTTTGTGAGCCCTGTGGACGCGACTCGCCTCTGGCACACACGGGGTTGTCACGAGTTGGAATTGACAGGATGACAACTAGCTGGGGGTTTTTAAGACAAAATAAAACTTGTCCCTCTGTCTTCCAGATACCTAAGGCATGTGGCACTTAGGGCTTTGTTTTTTGTTTTTTTTTACTCTTTAAACAAATGTTTGGAGAACGACTGTTGAGTGAGTTGACTTGCCCCAGGGAGTCATTTTATGCTGACCAATTGAATTTTGAAGAAAGTCTCTCAAAGGCAATGATTTTGGATTTGTCTTAGTTAATGTTGAGTAGTGAGTCATTACTTCTGGCTGCGTTGAGGATCAATTGTTTCTTCGGCTGATAATCGAACTGTGGTGGAAAGAGGGCAGGGATCCAGAGTGTCCTGCTTGCTGGAGGCTCTGCAAGGGAGAAGGAGAGTAGAGTGGGGGTGAGGAGCGGGCTGGAACAGACAAAGCTTTGTGATTCTGACATTTCGCTCCCTTTTCTGAACTGTGGATGAAAATACACACGTATACAACCTTCCTCTAGTTCCTAAAGGTTTCCTCCCCGCTCCCACTAACATGACTCGAATTCTATCTTGCAAGACTGGCTAGACCAGAGGAGGTACACTGGTACAGATAGGAACTGAAAATACAGGGA